CCGATTAGAATAGCAAATAAAATTTTATATCAACGATGAATCCACCACAGGCTCCCTTAAAATGCAATTCTGCTTTTAGTTATTTTTGAAATGAGTAGTTTTCGAGACTATCAGCAATGCTTGAATAAGAATTGTTGTCTCAATCTTAATTATATTTAAGGACCAGACCCCAACTTTAATGGCACGCATACATATTAGGAGAATGTTGGGCTGAATCAAAGTTTTGTATTTGTAAACATTTGTCTAGAAGAGATGTCACCAGAAATTGGGAAGGCAAATAGAGGCAAGATATTGGGCTCGCTCGAGAAGTGTCTCGAAGTGAAAAGTGGCGTCACTTTTTGAATCCGCTTCAAGCCGCTCCTCCAAAGCCATGTCGGGGCTGAGAAAGAGGTCCCGATAGTTTGGACACTAAAAGTTCTGAGGGAGACCACCGACCTCGGAAGTCGCCGTGAGCCAATGCGTCCGCGGACCAATGGGCGGTAGGAAGGGGCTTTGACGTCGTCGCTTCCGCCACCAGCCTCGGCCTCTCAGCCGGCCCAACAACCAGCTCGCTGGCCCAACCACATGAGGAGTCCATGTCGCAGACTCGAGGCTCGGTCCACGTCCGTTCATTTGCACAAGCTGCGGCGGCACCAGCGCCGACTTCGGCTCCAGAAGACCGCCAACTCTGTCGACACCTAGCGACAGTGGTGGAGTGCCGGTCGTCAAGACGGAGTGGGGCAGCATCGTGTTCTCGCTCTCGCTAGTGTGCGGAAAGAGCCGAAACTCGTTGAACCAAGAACCTGTACCGCTGCCGGGCCGGCTGAGGCCGTATCTCGTCATGCTCATGAGCCAAAATTGTCTTATCCGGCGCGAGTAGAGCTCAACTACCTTGAAGGATAAACAAATTCGTGAAAAGATGTCATGAAAAACACGAATTCTGGTTAGGTGAGATTGTAGTCTTGACACCCTACTTTGCTTTTTTAACTCTTTCCCGTAAAAATAATCACATTTCTGACTTGTTAGTACATATCTTCCTATCCCTTTTATATACGAAGGATAGGCGGGGTTTCGATTATCCGCCTGGGATACAATTGTCGTCAAGATTTTTATTTCGCAATTAAATGAAAGAAAGAGGTTCGTAGGACGATCTCAACTCAGTTATTCATACAGGATAGGAGGGCGGATGTTATGGGCTGCGTCACTATGAATGCCAATCGGTTGTAGAACAAACAGAATCGGCCGTTGCCGTCCGGTGAGATCGACCTACGAACCTCCTCATTTTGCATTTTCCATCTGAAAGTAGTTCTCCACATCACTCCCTTTTATTTACCTTCCTATTACAGCTCGACAGTGTTACCGTAGCAACCGTTGTTCTTAAGCTTTTGTATACGGATTTAGCCAGCCAAGGTCGCTTAAAGCGACTTAAGAGCTGACGCCTGTGTTTTGGCCAACGTTAATGGGGCTAAGCCTCAGGATGCAAGTGAATTTCACTTGGCCTTACCTTCCAGAATATTATCTCATCCCGGCTGGACTAAACTTTACGGAGGTTTGGAGCTCACTTCATCGTCGCTTATCAAAATCCCAACGGATTCGAACCTGGGTTGTGAGTATCACGGTGATATTCACACTCAACGACACAGCCACTGTTACTAGGGCTGTCAAAACGCGGACTTGGCACTCCATACAAGCTAGGCCTCGCCCAAATCGCGTCTTTATGGGGAGAATGCTAATTAAGCAAATGCATAGTCGCCGTTACCCACAACGACACAACTTACTGTCGATTTCAATTAGTCCCGAGATTATAAGTACCTCTTATATAATCGCTTATTCAGCCTTTCGTTTAAGGATTGATTGTTAATTTTAATTCCCATTTCGAAGGGAATGTTAATTGGAAGCATTTCGTGAAAATATTTTACTTGAAACCGAAAGAGGATTGACGCGAAGTGAAGACTATTGGACTGTGCGAAGAGGTCATCGACTCACCTTCCTGCGATCCCGATGAACCTGTGATAGGCTTTTGTCGGTGCTGTTACGGACATCATCAGAGCATGAGCATATACTTTATGACATATTGCATCAATATGCTAAGCCAACAAAACCTTTTCCCTTCGTCTTGTATGTATTGGCGAGCTATTTTGTAAAGTACAGATTCTTGAAATAATGATATTTGCCACAGCACAGAGGATAGCCTGGCAGAGACTCATATGAGTCGCTGACGGTGGGTCTATGACCTCTTCGCCCCTCTGCAGCCCGCTTTCGGTTTCAGATGGGACCCTTTTACGAATGCTATCAAGCCAAATTTTCTTTCGAAATGGACAGTTATGTCACGATGACTAACTAACGCATTCTTCTAAACACAGTTTTGCTTCATAATTGAGGATTTAACCTCGTATACAATGGTAAATATGTATTTACCAGATCGACAAACCGCAAAAAAAGGTGACTTGGAAGGAGCCTGGTAGGCCTTGACTATTACATTTGACTTTTGGCAAGCAGAGTACGGCATCGAGTGGGAAAAGTCAGCTACAAGCCTTAAATTGCCTTGTGGCAACGCGTGTCAATCTCCTCTTACGACATCGATTAATCTAGTTACAGGACATTGCATTGCAGTACTTGTCTCAAAAGAGACCACTTGTGAAAATGACTCATCTGCACTCTTGATCGTGTCGACCAGTCAAATCTGCCCACGACATGGCGCCTCCCCTGGACCTATCAGATCAGGGCATTTTGAGCCAATCACAAGCTGACACTCAAATCACTCGGCATAATTCGGTTCGTCATCCCGTGTCTCCCCTATTCTTCACATTCCAACTTTTAGTCATTTACTGCTCACTTTCTCCTCAATCACCAGTTTGCCTCACATGTCGCCAGTGGAAAGTACCGATGCCTGTCTCATCTCTAGTCTAGAGTCTCCGTCGCATCGCCATTCTGGTAGCTATCCTCATGAACTGTCAAACACGTGAATCTTCACGGACCTCTTCTAAGCTGTGCCAGAATCCTGTGCGCCGTTTCCTTCCTCTTCTGCGTCCACGATGGTCCGTGTTGGCTGAACTTCCGCATGGGGAGGACCGGGCTCAACCAGCGTCTGTCTCTGGCGGAGCATTCCAACGAACGTTTCGTCCGAGTCCGCATCTCCAGGACTTCACTTGATCGGCAGAAGCAATGCAACTTGGTCCTAATGTCCTCTTACTTGTCACTTTTAACTCGAACATACTTATATTGAATCAGCTTTGTACACCTGATCCCTATGCAACTTCAGTACCACATTCTTTACATTTTTATCTCTCCATCAGGCCTCAGTACAGGTCCAAAGGTATAAATAGTTCAACATCGAATCGGATCATAACAAGCCTTAGTAACATAAGCCGGCTTAATTCACACTCACGAATAACTGGAGGTTTCCAATGCTGCTTACGTCGAAAAGTGCTCTCAAATTTTGCTCTGCTCACCAAAGCTCAACGGTCTCAACCATGCACGGTTGGTATTCGTCCCAAGAGCCGCATGGTCTGTCTCCCTTGGTTGTCTCTCCCAAACAATCAACCAATTGCCCCCTACACTTTCCTCATGTCTCTCTCTGTTTGGCATATTTGGGCCTTCCATCGTTTGAACTGAAGTTTCTTTTCTGCAACTCTCGGGTCGGCTCGGCGGTCGTAGATCATCAGGAACGAGTGTTAGCAAATATTTCAGGATAGATAAAAGCTGTCAACTTCACCATCTCGCCGTCTCTGTTGCCGTCTCTGTTGCCGTTCAGATCCAGGCTCAGCAGTCCTGATTTTAGTCGACCTCAGCTTCTTACGCACGTTAGAAAAAGATATTAAGACCAAGATGGTGTGGCCTTTTGTGTGGTCGCAGTCTCCTTTCGTTGTACAGAGGTTGTTTGACCTTG